TTAACTATTCTATCAATTTTTTTCTTCCATCTTTTGTATTTTCATCCATAGTTTTTCAAGCTTCTTCTCACCCATGTACTTCTTCTGGGCTGTTGTCTCTGAGGTATTTGCTCTCTTATTGACTTCCATTGTTTCTTCCCAAATTTGTATCTTTTCCTGTAGCTGATCAAATAACTCTACGTCAACATATTTACTCTGGATCTCTCTATCTGGGGTATTCATAGTGTCAACTTTTTAAGGAGAAGGGTTATTTTGCTTTTTCATAATGGCTGATGTCGATTGCTGCTTTCCTGACATTTTGGGAATCTTTTTTTAGTAGGTATTAGGCTGTTGTAACTATCAGATTTACCCAAGGTACAGCAATGTTTTGTAAAGCACCTATACATTTGTACTCCCTTCTTGGCCAGAGGCCTACAGGGCCTGACAAAAGTTCTTTGGGTTGTTTTTTTGTGGGTTTTTTTTTTTTCAGAGTACCTTAAAAAAGGCAGGAATCCTGTTGTTCCCTTCTGGAAGTGGCTTCTCACCTCCCTCTAGGTGCCCAGGTCCTCCCTGTTGCTTGAGCCTAAGGGATCCATGTGGTTAAGCTAAACAGCAGGTTTTTTCCCCACCAAAGTACTTTAATGACAGAGGGAGAAGCCTGTTTTTCTCTTCTAGAAGTTGCTTTTCAACTCCCTCAAGGTTCCCAGGTCCTCCCTCTTGCATGAGATTAAGGTGTCCTGCATGGTCAAATTAGTTAATTGACTGGGACAAATCGATGGCTTCTGACAACACATGGTGGCTTCTGACGACTCACCTGTTTAAACAATTCTGACTTACAGTTAGTTACCCTTTCAAGACTAAGGTTCCCCAGAACCAAGCCATTATATTTTTAATGTCCTCAGATTCATAAGAAATCTGGACAATGAATAAAGAAAGGGGAGGGGGAGAATGATGCTTTTGCATCATGGCGTTGGAGAAGATGGTAAATACACTGTGAACTAACAGAAGAATGAATAGATTTGTATTGGAAAAGTAAAGATGCTCTTTAAATGCTTTTTTTTTAAGATTTTTTATTTTATTTTATTTTTTAATTTTGTGTGAGTGTGCCGTCAAATCGGATCTGACTGGTACAGGAGGAGATTGTCCCTCCTTCCCCGGCAGAGAATCTGGTGGATTCGAACCATGCACCTCTGGGATTGTAGTTGCAGCTCCTTGCCACTAGGTTTAAATGCTTTTTAAAAGAGAAAATGCCGAGACTTTGTCTCACACTTGATACTAAGAGTGACCAGTCCCCAGGAAATGACATCATGTTTAGAAAAGTAGAGGATCAATGAAGAAGAGGGAGCCCTCGAGGAGATAGAGTAACACAGTGGTTGCGACAACAAACTTACACATAGAAATAATTGTGAAGATAGCTCAGGACCAGACTAAGTATTTCATTCTGTTCTACAAAGGATTCCTGTGAGTTGGAACTGATTTGATAGCATCTAATAATAACAGTAACTAAAGAGTTTCTTTGTGTAGATATCTCTGAGTTTATCCTGCTTGAGTGTTTGAGATTTTTAGATTGGTAGATTCAAGTCCTTTGTTATATCAGGAAATTTTGTTTTTATTTCTCCAAATATTCTTTCTCTGTTCATTTTTTTCTGAAATTACTATCATTTAATAACAATGGTCTTTTATTATTGTCCCATGATTCTATTATCTTCAGCCTTCTGTTCCATTATGTTGAGCTTCTATTCTTGTTGCTCTTCAGAATCTGTCATTCTAATTATCCTCTAATTTACTAAGTCTCTCTTCTATCAAATCTGTTGACAAGTCTTTCTATTGTGATTCTCATTTCAATTATTATACCCTTTATTTGCAAAAAATCTCTTTTTTAGGTCTTCATTTTTTTTACACTTTCCCCCTTATTTCTTTTAGCTCTATTTTAACCTTAGCTCTTCAACTGTGTTTAATATTGTTGATGCATTATATTCTTCACTGCCCCATTCCCACAATTTAATAATTCTTAGATGTTCTTTCACCTTCTTTGTCATGCTCATGTTAATGGGACAGTGCTTTGCTGTTATTTTTGTGTCTTATGGTTTTTGTTGGGAAATTAGAACTTTCGAGGGTATTAACTTTCTTCTTCCTGTTGTCTTTGTTGTTATGTGCTGTCAAATCCCTTGCAACTCATTGCAACCCTATGTACAACAGCTCTGAACCCTGCTCTATACTGAGCTGACCTTAATGTGTCTGTCACACCTACCTCCATTACCCCAATCACTGAGTCAATCCGTCTCTTCAAAAGTCTTTCTTTCTTGTGCTGTCCCTCTACCCTTGCAAGAATGATATCCCTCTCCAAGGACTAGTCCCTCCTTGCAACATACCCAAAGTATGTAAGATGAAGCATCAGAATTCTTGCCTCCTAGGAACAGTCTGGTTTCACCCTTTCTAGGACAAATCTGTATGGTCTCCTAGCGACGGTATGCTCAATATTCTTCTCCAGCACCATAGCTCAAAGTCATCAATTCTCCTTCTATCATCCCTTGTCATTGTACAGCTTTCTGATGTATTGTGCAAATTGTGAAGATCATGGCCTAGATCAGGCACAGATTTCCCCAGTATTTGGTGGTTTTGCCTGTAGTGCTTTCTGCCGGAAACTTAGGTGGGCAGAGTCTTCAGACGTTGCTTGCATTTCTTCTGTCTTTTAAGGATAGTGTTTTCTCTCTCCCTAGGCTAATTTGGCATTTAAAAGTTTCATATCTAATTTTTCAACTTTCAGACTCCTTCCAAGCACACAAGAAAGCATACTGTGGTTAGGCTGTCCATCATTAACCATTGCCACTCAGGCTAGGTATTACTAACAATCTGTCCACCAGGAGCACAGTCACCCCTCTGGTTTATTATTTTCTTTCTTCTCTGTTTCTGTAATCATGAGTTTTGTCAGAAAATTCATAATCATTAGCTTCTTTGGGGCTGGGTATTGCCTTCTGGCTTGAGCCAAGGTTTCTTTTCCTCTCTGTATGTGCTACTTACACCTGAACTGGCTTTCAAGAGAAGCACGAGTGATTTTCACCATAGCAGTAAGAAGTGGGAATGCCAGAAAGACCACTATGAGATATGTGCTATTGGTTTCAAAAGTCGCAGTGGCCTGTTGGTGGTTGGAAGAGCAGTTTCCACAGGTGACCCACTCTTATTTTGTTCACTGTAAAGAATTTGTTGTAGTAATTCAGATTAGTGCATCTGGGAAAGGGGTAGTTACTATGAACAGGCCACTAGAGAAGCCTGCCTTGTTACTATCAGAGCCTGCCCTACAGGGTGTTGGCTTGGATATAGCTCTTTATTCAAATTCCTGCTTACTAGGACACAGTAAGCCTCAATCAGCAGTCCTTAGCACTAACTGGAAAGTAGAACAGACAAACCCAAAGTTATCGCCAAGGAAGTTTTTCCTATTGGTTTTCAGAGGCCTAAGCTGTAGGGTATACATGAAGACAGATAGAGTGTTTACTATGAGAGCAAACTCCATTGTTTAGGCCTTCGTAGCAATTCACATTTGTCTTGCAACCAATGTGTCTATTGGAGAGGGCAGGTGGGTGGTGGTGATTGAAAGATGCTGGAATACTAGAAATGGACTGCTGGGAGGTTTGCATTGCTGATTTTATGGTGGTTAGAGAAGCTAGCTTTTTTACCGAAGCCACTGCTCCACTTCTCAACAGTCTCTAGCCTTCTTGCCTGGGCAGAGATGGTGGGGAAAACAGTTTCATATCCTATCTGACTCATGGTTAAATTTTACCTATCTGTAGTCCCCCACTGCTTTTCTCTGCTCCTTAATTCAGAGTCCCAACGAGGACCTTTGATGGCTATTACAGAAAGGTAAGGACTACACCCTTTAATAAGAATTATATCTTAACATCAGAGAAACAGAAATCCTCACCACTAGGCAAATAGGCAGATACTATGCTAGATGGAGTGAAGACTAAAGTGTTTAATTATTTTGTTTTGCTAGGATCCACAATAAATATACTTGGCAACAGCAAGAAATGGGGGGTGGGGGTAAGTATGACCTTTAGGGAAGTCTAAGCTCAGAGACCCCTCCAAAGTGCTAAAGAGCATTAATGTCAGTTTGAAGTGTGCTTGATCCAAGCTTTTCATTTGTTTCCTATGGAACAGAAGACTGGATATTGACTATGAATGACAGTACAAGAACCAATACCTTGAGTTTTGTTGGAGATGAATACTGAATAGCCCATGAACTACCAACAAACAAATATATCTTGAAGAAGAAGGTGCAACCAGGGTGCTCCTTGAAGGGAAGGATGATGAAGCTCTATCTAACATACTTTGTGCATCTTGTAAGAAGAGGCAAGTCCTTGTAAATGGTCACCATAGTTGGAAAGGTGGAGGTTTAACAAAAGAGAAGAAGACCCTAAACAAGATAGATTGACACAGTGGCTGGAGCAATGGGCTCAAGTATAGCAGGGTTGGTGAGGATGGTGCAGGATAGAGGGGGGTTCGGGTCTGCTGCTCACAGAGTCTCTGTGAGTCATGGTGATCTCCATGGAACATGACAACAATAAGAAAAGTCGAATACTATTTTCTTAATGTATACCTGTACATAACAATAGCTTATCAATGCTTCTATCCTCCCAGAATTCTTCCATTTTAGATTTTTTTCATCGTGAATTTCTTTTTTCCTTCTAATAATAATTAAAAAAATATATCTTCAGAAAAATGCAGTTTTCTTGGTTTCATGGGAAAATACATTCTGAATTGGTTTCTTTTATTAATAAAGAACCTGTCATAAAGAATCGTAAGTAGAACTTGAAAAAAACCATGTTTCAAATATCTTTAGGTTGATAGATATACTCAAATTGATTTAATAATACAGGTTTTCAGGACTACTTTTTCTGTTATTTTTTTTTCTTTCATTTAAATATTTTATTTACACATATAGGAAAAATATTTTAAAGTTCATCATAAAAGAAAAGGAATTAATAAGATAAAAATTTGTGCAACTGATTTTATCTCTGTTTTAGAGGCAAACCAAATTTATTGGACATGGGCTCTTTGATGATCAAACCAATACAGCGTGTGATGAAATATCCCTTGTTACTTTGTGAACTTCGGAATTCTACCCCTGCTTCTCATCCAGATTACAGAGCTCTGGAGGATGCCTTTGCTGCTGTGAAAGACATTAATGTAAACATCAATGAACTTAAAAGAAGAAAAGATTTAGGTAAGGAGAGGTATGATATATTTGTGGTGTTTTCATGAAGGGAGAGTTTTGTTTGTTTCAGAAACTCAGGTTCAGAAAGGAGGTTAAGTTGTTATAGCAGCTAACGTGAACATGATCACTTGACTGTCCAGAGTTAGAGGGAAGAAATGAGCATGATTTGGCTTACCAACTAGGTCCAGGAGAAGGCTTTAAGGACAAATCCCCTCACGACCCCAAATTAGAATTTTTTGTCAAACGACTATGTTCAACACCACTTTAGATCATTGTACATGTGCTAACATTTGGCTGAGAATATCCATAAAACTCTTTTTCATCAGAAGTGTTTATAGTAAGGGGAAATATAGTCAAGTCTTGGCAGGACCAAGAAGTTGGCAACGACAGGGAACAATTAAGGGGCAAACCAGGTGAAGAGATTTCTTTGGTTCTGCCTACAAAGAGTGGAACGTTTTTAGCAGTAATTGCTCTATTGAAGAGACTAGATATACTTCTAAAATCAGGTAATCTCTAGAATTCGCAAATTATTGTTACTTTATTGTATTTTGAAATGGCAGTATTTTTTGTTATTTATTTATTTTCATTATTTTATTACTATTTATAAACAAAGACTTAGGCTCTAAAATGAGAAGTTCAAAATGAAATGTACAATTGCATGATTTTTATATATCACATATATAAAAGTTTATAAGGGTCACAGTTTGTCTTAGGCCTAAGAAGACCATGGGACATCTCGGAGTGTGCTATGTGTCCATAAAATCCTTAATTTGTTTTGCACTTTATAAAACTCAATTATAAAGCTCAAATAGAGCAACACTCCTTGGAGGCAGGGATGGCAAAACTTCATCTTGGACATACTGTTTGGAGAGGCTATTCCTTAGAGAGAGACATGATGCTTAGAAAGAGAGGAAGACTTGAGAGGAGACAGATCAACACAATCACTGCAGCGACAGGCTTGAGTGTGTCAATTGTCATGAGATTGTAAGGATGGCATGAGATAGGGCAGGTTTGAGATCTGTTGTTCATAGGGTCATTATGAGTCATGCTCAATGGCACTTAACAACAGCAAATAGATACTTACGAGTTAACTGATCCAAACATTAATTTTTTTTGTTTCTTAATGTTTATTCAAACTTGATATATTTGTGTTAATGTATTAAAATGATGTAGAAAGACATAGACTAAGAAGAGAATGTCGCAGAGTTAAAGAAACCATAAATATATTAAAGAGATAATCCACAGATAAGGATTTCTGTTGTTAGTTACTTTTGAGATAACTCTTACACATAGCAAGCCTGTGTACAGCTACAAAAAACCCAACTTGATCCTCCAGTCTTCACAGCCTCCAATGTGCATAATAAGCCCATGACATCAGCCACGGTGTCAATCTATCTCATTGAAGGTCTTCCTGTTTTGCTGACCAAGAGTTTTATCAAGTATAATGTTCTTTTTATAGGGATGGGCCTATCTTGACAACATGTCCAAAATATATGAGATGAAAATTTACTATCTTTGCTTATAAGGAGTATTAAGGTTTTATTTCTGAGACAGATATGCAGGCTATGGTTATGACACAGAATTGTTTAAAGAAGTGGCATATGATCAAGAACCATTGATAATAAAGGAAGAAGTTCAAGCTGCTCTGAAGGAATTGACCAAAATAATAAGGCTCTTCACCAATCTACGTATTTTAGAAAATAGGAAAAGAATTCTATCAGATTCATTCTATGAAGCAAGCATATTCTACCAAAATAGAAAACTATAGACCAATATCTCTTATGAATTTAGATGTAAAAATCCTCAATAAAATCCTGGACAATAGAATCCAACAGTATATATATATAAAAAGTAACTCCCCGTGACAAAGTGGGATTCATAACAGGTATGCAGTGATGGTTTAACATGTAAAAAATCAATGTAATTTATCACATTGTTGTTATTGTTATGTTATTATTGTTATTGAGCTGCCTTGTGACTCATAATGACCCTATGTACAAGAGCCCTAAACCCTGCTCTATTCTGTGCCAACTTCACTGTCTCTGACACTTCCATCATCCCAATCACTGAATCGATCCATCTCATCAGGGGTCTTCCTCTCTTGCACTATCCCTCCACCTTCCCAAACATGATGTCCCTCTCCAAGGATTGGTCTCTCCATGCCCAAAGTATGTCTGATGAAGCTTTGTAATCCTTGCCTCTAAGGAGCAGACTGGTTTCACCCTCTCCAGGACAAACCTGTTTGTTCTCCTAGCAGTCCATGGTATGTTTATTCAACACTCTTCTCCAACACCACAGCTCAAAGGCATCAATCAATTTATCATCCCTAGTCCCTAGCTCTCTGACACATAGCACTCAATTGCAAAGACTATGACCCAGATCATAGCACATCTTAGTCTCCAGCTTGATGTTGTTGCTCTTCATGTACTCTGGAAAGGTCCCTGACAGTTGAACAATGCAATTTGTTTCTTGATTTCCTGGCTGCTAGTACCAAGAGTGTTGATTGTAGAATCAAGCAAACTAAAACTGCCAACAATCTCAATCCTGGTGAGAATTTTTGTCTTTTTGTTGTTGACCTTTAATCCATATTGAAGGCTACAGTCTTTGACCTTCTGCAGCAAGTGCTTCAGGTCCTCCTCAGTTTCAGCAAGCAGGGTTGTATAATCTGCATAATGCAGGTTATTGATGAATGTTTCTCCAATCTTGATGCTATATTCCTCCTAGTACAGCCCAACATCCTGGATTATCTACTCTGCATACAGATGGAAAAGGTATGAAGACAGAATACGTCCCGATTTTGAACCATGCGGTGTCTCTTTGCTTTGCTCTGACGACTGCCCCTTGGTTCAAGTATAGGTTTCACATAAGCACAATCAAATATTCTGGGATTCCCATTCTTCTGAGAGTCAAACATAGTTTGTTGTGATCCACAGAGTCAAAAGCTTTTGCATAGTCAATGAAACACAGATAGACCTTCCTCTGGGTAACAAAGAAAATAACAAAACCCACATAATCCTTTCATTTCATGTAGAAAAGGCCTTTAATAAAATCCAACTCCTTTTCCTGATTAAACACTCAATAAAATAGGAATGAAAGGGAATTTCCTCAAAACAGTGAAAAGTATAAATGTGAAACAAAGAGCCAACATCATTCTCAATGGGGAGAGATTAAAGTATTCCTTTATAAAACAGGAACTAGGCAAAGATGCCCATTTTCACTACTCCTATTCAATGTTGTGTTGAAAATTTTAGTGAGAGCAAAAGACAAGAGAAGGAAATAAGAGGTATCCAAATTTGCAAACAAGAAGTAAAACTATTTTTTATATGCTGATAATATAATAGTGTACTTAGAAAACACTAAAGATTCAATGAGAAAACTCCTGACCATATTTGACCAATTCAGCAAAGTAGCAGGATACAAGATCAGCATAGAAAAATCATTTTTTTCTAGCTACAAAAAATACAGACAAAGAGCTAAGAAAAACAATACCCATCACAATAGCCAATCACAAGATTAAATACTTGAGAGCAAATCTAACTGGAGATATTAAAGACTTACACAAAGAAAATTACAAAGCATTATTACAAGAAACAAAAAGAAACCTGGAGAAATGGATCAATATACCATGCTCTTGGATAGTAAGACTCATTATTGTGAAAATGACAATTCTACAAGGTCAATGTAATTCTAATATAAATACCAATTCCATTCTTCAACAAGAAGGGAAACACAATTTCCAATTTTATCTGGAATGGAAAGAGACCTTGAGTAAGTAATATACTTCTGAAATTAAGAAAAACAAGGTAAGAGCCATCACACACCCTCATTTCAAATCCTAATATACAGGCATGGTAGTTACGACAACATGGTACCGGTACAGTGATAGATTTGTAGATCAATGGAGTATAATTGAGAACCCAGAAATTAGATCATCTACCTACGGTCAAATGATTTTTAACAAGGAGACAAAATCATTCAAATGGAGATACAATAGCCTTTTTAACAAATGTTGTTGGCAAAATTGAAAAACCATCTATAGAAAACTCAAGAAAGCATCACACCTCACATCATACACAAAAGCCAACTCTAGGTAGATAAAGGACCTAGAATTTCAACTAAAGAGAAGAAACATTATCAGAAAAATAAAAGCTTAGAAGAGTTCTAGAAACCCTAATCCACTGTATGAATAGTCTTCCAAACATAATGAAAAACCTACAACCAGGAAAGAACAAAATAGATGAATGAGACCTTCTAAGAATTAAATTTATCTGCACATCAAAAAAGTTATCCAACAGGGTAAAAAGTGAAGCCACGGAATGTGAAAAAAATATTGGTAATGATACATCTGACAAGGGACTCATATCTAAAATTTATATAATACTGCAATACCTCAATAAGAGAAAGGTAAACAACCCTGTCACAAAATGGGCAGGAATTGATAGAATACCATTTTACACCTTTTACCAAACAGATGCTGCCCTGATTGTGCTTACCAGGTTGTGCCAAGAAATCTGGAGGACAGCACCTGGTCGAATGACTGGAAAAGATCCATATTTATTCCCATTCCCTAAAAAAGGTGATATAACAGAACGTAAATTATTGAATGATATCACTAATACATTTACAAGCAAAATCTTGTTGAAGATTTTTAAAAAATGACTACAATAGCATATCATTAGAGAATTCCAGAAATATAAGCTCGCTTTAGAAGAGGCTGTGACACTAGAGATATATATCATTGCTAATATCAGATAGATCTTGGCTGAAAGAAGAGAGTACCAGAAAGATGTCTCTTTGTGTTTTATCATCGACTGTGAAAAGGCTTTTGATTGTGTGAATCACAACAAATTGTGGTTAATATTGAGAAGAATGAGAATCCCAGAACACTTGCTTTTGCTCATGGAAACCTATACCTAGACTAGGAAGCTATTGTGCAAGTAGAGTAAGGGAATACTACATGGTTCAAAGGCAATAAAAGATTACGTCTAGGATGTATCTTTTCTTCATACCTTCTCTATTTGTATGTTGAACAGATTATTCAGGAGTCTGGACTTTATGAAGAAGAATATCACATTAGAATTGGAGGAAGACTTATCAACAGCTTCTGTTATGTTGATTACACATCTTTGTTCACCAAAACTAAAGGAGGACTTGAAGCATTTGCTACAGAAAGTCAAGGTCTAGAACCTGCAATATGAATTGCATACCTATATCAAGAAAACAAAAGTGCTCAGCACCAGATAAATAGGCAGCATCATAATAGATGAAGAGAAAACTACTGAGGTTATCAACAATTTCGTCCTGCTCAGATCCACAATCAAAACCTAGGCACCAGCAGTCAGAAAATAAAAAAAGTTGAATTGCATTAGGAAAATCTGCTGTTAAGGACCTCTCCAGAATACTATAGAATAAAACTGTCAGTCTAGATTTTAAGGTGGGCCTGACCCAGGTCATGGTCATTCAATAAGGATGATAGAAGAAGAAATGATACCTTTGGGTTGTGGTGCTGGAGAAGAGTGTTTAACATAGCACAGACTGCCAAAGAGAAAAAGAGATCTGTCCTGGAGAGGGTGAAACCAGATTGTTCTTTGCAGGCAAGGATTTGGAAGCTCTGTCTCACATGCCTTAAACATGTTGCTGGGAGGCATTAGTCCTTGCAAAAAAGACATCATGCTTGGGAGGGTAGAGGGTCAAAACAGGAGAGGAAAACCCTGGATGGACTGACACAATGGCTGTGGCAATGGAGTCAGATGTGTCAGAGATGGTGAGGTTGGCTCAGGATATAACAAAGTTTAGAGTCATTGTTCATGAGGTTACTATGAGTTGTAGTTACATAACAACAGCATCAATACTAACAACACATAATTAGCAACACAGCAATGGCACATGTCAGCAACACTACCACTCAAAGGCATTGTTTTGTCTGCAGTGTGTTTTATTCAATGTCCAACTTTCATATGCATATGAAGCAATTGAAAATACCATAACTTGGGTCAAGCACACCTTAGACTTTAAACTGAAATCCTTTCCCTTTAGCTCTTTATAAATAATTCACAGCTGAGCTTACCATAAATTTACTTAGTGCATATGACATTTGATTTATTGACTCTTTCCATGAGCGTAAATTGTAAGTCCAAGTGACGTGAAATCCTTGACACCTTCAGTCTTCCTCCATTTATAATAATGTGCATTATTGATCCACTTAGGATATTTTATGTTTAGAGGTAACTGAAAGTTAGGATAGCAGTTCTTTCTAATGCTATAAAAGGATGAAGTCACAAGTTCAAGTATTATCCGATTTTTTTAAATAAAAAGGTAAAAAGCAATAAAAGTAGCATGTTAAGATTTTACAAAGCTCTTAAGTGGTTAATAGTTGGTACCAAATGGGTGGTATTCTTCTTTATATTTACACTGTTTCAATGTTTTAAAATATTCCTTTCCCATTATTCTAGTTTTAGGAAATTTTCTTCCAACTTTATTTTTCTATTTTCTGTTCTTCTCTCTTCCTTCCTCTCTTGCCATTTCTGTACATTTTCCTTTCTGCCTACTTCCTTCCTACCTGCTTACAGCATGTATGATACTACCATTTGCACTTAAAAAAATTAAACTTACCCATGTATCTTGTGCATTTTTCCAGTTAACAATGCTTTTCTTACGATAGTTTTGTAGTACTCCATTTTATGAATGCATAGTAATTTATTAAACTATTTCTCTTAAACTTTAAGATTTTAGATTGTTCCCAATACTTCGCTCTTAGTAGAAAAATTATTTCACCAAACAAAACTTTGAGTAGACTTCCTAAGCATAAATTGTTAAAGGTACATTTTATAATATCCTGACAAATTATCCTCTTCAAAAATTGTGCTGGTTTAGTCTTCATCAACTGTGTCTGAGTGGGGAAGTGAATAGGAACATTGTTGTTCGGTGCCATCTGGTCAAGTACGACACATAGGGACCCTATGAAAAACAGATATGAACCGTGTCTTATCCGGCACCATCATTATTGTCCCCAACACCCTTGAGCCCATTGCTCCTGACAATCTTTTGGGGCAATCTGAGGATCCTCCTCTCTTTCACTGATGCTCCATATTTCCAAGCATGGTGTTCCTTTTCAAGAAATAGCCTCTCCTAAAACATGCATAAGGTAAATGAGACCAACTTTGCCTCCAAGAAGCACTCTGGTTGCACTTTCTCCAAGACATATCTCTTTATTCTTTTGGTAGTCCATGGGTATTCAGCACTCTTCTCTAACACCACAACTCAAAGACATCATTTCTTTTCCTGTCATCCTTATTTGTCGTCCAGCTTTCAGATAGATGAATAGCATGTGGTTGAAAAGACTATGTCTTGAATCAGGTCCACGTTAGTCTTTAAACTGACATATGGAACAATATGGAAAGTAGGGATCATTCTGTAAAGAAGTGAATAAAGGATACTCAGCTGATTGACTTGCTCCAAAGCAAATAATGGAAAGCCACCATAGAATCTGAGGTCTCCTTACTTTGTTATTTTTGCTTTGTGCCTTTGAATTGGAACCAACTCGTAACTGACCCTCCAGCAGATTTGCAGACACTGTAAGTCACACACGAGGAAATTGCCCATCATTCTCCAGAGGAGCATCTGGTGGATTTGATGTGCCTGTTTTTGGATTGACACCTCAGCCTCTTACCATTTAGTTATCTTTCTAGTAGTTAGGTCTTGATACTTTGTTCCAGAAACTTGACATTAGATGTTCTGGGAGAAGAAGAAGAACTTTTTCTGAATATCAGGAATTTCTTCAATGTAAGAGATAAATGAACTTTGAGCCTTCAGATTGTAGACTTTGGGCAGCTGAGTTTCTGAAGGGTGGCAAGCATAGTCCCTGGAAATGTGACAGGGCTGTGCTACTGGAGTGAAGTCAGGAGATGTCCCATATACAATATCGGGAAATCTCATCTGGATTTTTGTTATGAACATATTCACCTTGAATGTTTGGAGTAAAACAAACTTCCAATGCTGTTACGTGTTCAGATATATTACTATATTCCTCTGTTGTAGTTCTGAAATATAAGAAGAATGATGAGGATGAATCTCTCAAAGACAAACTATCAAAACTAAATATTCATTCAATTAGCAAAAAATCAAAAAGAGTGACAAATCATCTGAAGATTCTGACCAGAGGAGAATCACAGGTAATTTTATTTCTGTGAACATATAAGTTTTTCTAGAGTAAATGACAGTTTGGGAAAGTACGTTTTATTTTTATAAAATCTGCTTCTAAAACACAGAAAATCAAACTAATTACCCTGTGCACATCTTCCGTAATTTGAAGTGGCCACTGGAGGGTGTAAATTAATACTCTGTGCTCATCCTTTCTCTAGTTAGAGGAAACCTTTGGGTGATGTAAATGGCTAATGCTTTTGTCTGGTAACATAAAGATTGGAAGTTCAAGTTCACACTGAGACATCTCATAAGAAAGGTCTTATTAATTCTTATACATTCTACTTCTGGACAAATTAGTCATTGCAATGAAAACTTCAGTGAGCCCTATTTCCACACTTACATACGTTGAGTCACCATGAGACAGTGTCACCTCTACTGGCTTGACAGTTTATGAGTACTGGTTAAGTTAGTGGGAAAGATTACAGTTTTGACATTGACATTGACAATTGACAGTGAGCTGTGTTCCATCTACTTAGAAAACAAAGGACAAAAGAGTGCCCCAAGAAGTCTGATGTTCACTATTAATTAGCACATAATCTCCTTCTATCCTGAAGGCAATGGCTATTTGCATGCTTTTTAAAATGTCATTTTTCTTTAGGGTGGCTTTAGTATTAATCTTGGTTTTATTTCATTTGTTCAAATTCTTTAGATGCATTACTTAGTGGAATTTTCTTCTTTTAACTTCCCCCTCACCTCTCACCCTGCCAGCTATCCTTTGCATTGGCAATTATCTGCTGTGTCAGTTTGTTACCCAGACTTGGAATACCTTCATATCAACCTCCAATTAATACTGGATGGGTTAGCAAAGGATCACAATTTTTACTGTGCCTAACAATTACTGCAGGAGCCTGATAAAAAGACAGAACCTTATTCTAAGCTTCCACTCCTTCAAGGTGGAACATAGACATCTGTGGTTTTGCAAATACTTCAGATGTTCTCAAGTTAACAGTCTTAAGTGATCAATGGAATGTACTTTGAGGATCACCAAGTACGAAGTTATGGCCCTGAAGCAGTAACACAATGTGTTCCTAACCAAAAATAGGGGAAATAATTCTTTGGATGATATATAGTGAGTTTTTTTCCCTTTTCATCTGGCCATGTTCACATTATTATTTTAATATCTGTAAGTATAAGACTACTATGAGTGGAAACTCACGTAGTTACAGGGTTAATAGCTACTATGCCTATTTCTGATTTCTCTAGGATTTTAATTTTAATTGGAGGCAATTATAGTTTGTGTAGTCTAGCACTGGTTTTAGATGACTCATCCTATCTGAGAAGTTTTTCTTATTTTCTCACTACTAGATAGAAATGATCTCTCCCTTTCTCTGACTTTCTGAGTCACTGAATATACCCTACTCTTCCACTCTTTATATCTGCAAGACTTAGCACAGGTCAGAAATTAAGAACCAGGTCTTTGCTGTCATTTATCCTGAATTTGAACTCTATCATTATCACTGAATAAAGATTTGTCATTGAGCACATAAATATAACTTGTTGTGGTTGTTGTTGTTAAGTGCCATAGACCCTGTGCACAATAGCTCTGAACCCTTCCTCTGTCTTGAGCCAATCTCACTATTTCTGACACATCTAACCTCATTACCGTAGTTAGTGTGTCAATCCATCTCATTTGGGGTCTTCTCCTGCACTGTACCTTGATCCCTCCAAGATGACATAGTTCTCCAAAAACTGGTCCCTTCTGGCTACATGCCAAAAGTATGTGAGACGGAGTCTCAAAAATCCTTGCCTCAAGAAGCAGCTTGGTTGCTATAAATTGGCCTCCAACTAATGGCAACCCCAGGACAGCATTCTCATGATCAGGTGCAGATTATACTGTTATGATGTTTAGAATTTTCATTGAATGACTTTCTGAAATAGATCTACAGATGTTTCGTCTTAATCATCTGTAAAAAGGTGATTATTCCAGTAGCGTAGAAATGGGTGGTTATGAAGGTTAAAAGCATATAAAGAAAACACCTAACAAAGTCTGTGAGTATTCTATATTTAATTTTTTATCATTAGTATTATCATTTTTATTATTTCAGTGATTTGCACTATTTTTACTTTTTAATGCAGATTTATTCTTTCCCATGTGAGTACAAAATCACTTAAAAATGGCTTTCATCACTCTTGGATTTATTCCCTCATATTTTTCTTGGGACTCATCTAACCCACTGCAGACAGTAGGCAAATCCCTGTCACTCTTTCCAGTGTTGCACTGGAATGTGAAAAATTCAGGAGTTTTATGGTTTGCAGTCACAAAAATCAGAGCAAGAAAAACCAAGACATTTCATCTAAAGATAACAGTAATAAAACTGGGTTGTGAACTCATTTGGGAAGAAATCGTAGCTGCCGTAGACTTGCATAAATGCAGTGCACACATTTCACCCTACCATTTGTGATATTGCTTCTGGGGCACAGAAAATTCTATTGAGCAGTGATAGGCAGCTTCTAATTCTGGGCAGGTGCTTATATAAGTTGTTCCAGTCTTTAACATATTTATCATCAGCTTCTTATATTTTTCAATTGTGAGCTACAAGTGAATTGTAGCTAGAGTAGCCTGAAGGGATATTAATTAGATTTTTCCCCTTAATCTTTTGAGATGATGTCCTGTCAGCAACGAAGCATTTCAGTGTTAATCAGAAAATCAGCTGCATAGGCCAAACTGGAAAAGAGATAAATCTCTAATCAATCAATTTTGCACTTGTCAGCAGCTCAGGTGAAATATTTGGTGGAGTTAGGATATAAAGCTATTGCCCAAGAGAAAGATTCGATACAATTCATCATGCATTTATTGAATTCTTGTGTACCAGGCACTGTGCTAGAAATTGGAAATACAAGATAAACTAGGTTCTGAATTCAGTCTGAGTGATCCTGGTCCTATCTATTAATGTGGGGAAAAAAATTCTTTACCACTACCATCCTGCCACACCATACTCAGACTTTATACATTCATGTGAAGTTCCTGGGGAGTGCAAATGTTAATGTCCTTGCCACCCTAACTGAGAGGTTGAAGGATCAAAAGACCTGGTAATCTATTAATAGCATAAATTGGGTAGTCATTCACTCATCATTTTGATAATCGTCCTGAGAGATGAGCCCACATGGACTTTACTTCATGTGATCCCTTGGGGATCCAGCTGCTTCCAATTCTTTGCTGTGTTTGAGCTCTGAAGGTATTGTCTTCACCTGCCTGGTTTAAGCTGGCTCACGGCCATGTGTACCTCCAAGGCCCAAGGACACCGCTTTGAAGTCAAGATTCTGAAAAGGCTCACATGACTTTTCCTCATATCCTGTTTGCCCAATCCCAGATAACTGCAAGGAAGCATGGGAAATATATTCTCTGTTAGGACAGTCATGTTGCCAATTTTAACTAAGGAGTGAAATTCTATACATAATAGAACAATGGGGATAATTTCAACAATTTCTGCCAGACCTCTTTAAACAATATTTTTCCCATAGGATTGTGTAAGAATGAAGTGAGAAAACAGAAGATAGATTTAGTAGAGTGTCTGGAACATGTTTAATGTATGTGTGTATGTTTGTTTGCTATTATTATTAAGATAAGTGTACTTAATTTCAAAGCACTTACAATTCATCAGTGCAGAGAATTACTCAAATAATTACTATTGTAAGAATACATAGTAGGGAGAGATTTCAACAATATTTGAAGACGAATTAACAGAACAGGTGGCATTTGAGCTGGCCCTTGAAAAAAATAAACAGAATGTGAAAAGCATTAAAGGAATAGTGTATTATTTCAGCAAGAGAAAACTACAATCGAAAAATCTGATCACAAAATTGGCAAGCAGATTCAGGCAATATTTTTCACAGTATTATCCTGGTACTTGTTACTTTAGATCATCCCAGCCCAAGTCAAGATACACAAAATAAAATCTCTGGTCATTTCCACCTGGAAACAATTTTTTTAAAAGGTATCTTTCCCAGCATATCCTTATACACACCAAACTGATATTGAGCATAAAGATCGTTGAGGATGTTAGATTTTTGTTGTTGTTGTTGACTCCAAAGACTACCTGTAATAGAAGAGGTTTATAGCTGATCAATATTAAGGGATTTCAAAACAATATGCAGTGGCATCTTTTCTAGTTGTTCCATTTTAAGATCGATTGTCTTAAAATGCACATAAGAATCAGTAACAGCCATGCTAATTATCAAGTACCAAATTAAAAAAAGATATATATTTCATGAAACTTTTGCATTCTCCAACAGATTTTCTCTGAATGAACTTAGGTCTGACCTTTTGTAGTCATTTTGATCATTAAGAAATATTTCTTACCCAGAAGAGCCATCATAAGTGCTTTTTCTTAGAAATTGCCAACATATAAAATAATAAAGCATATTTTTAATGTTGGTAGATACATGCACATAATGACAAAAGCCCCACCCAAAGCACCAAAAGCCTGAGCAAATTAAATTTGTTTAACTCTACTGGTTTATCCCCCCAAAAAGGGGTTTTGCTTAGATCATGTCTATTTGAATTTGAGTTGATTGATAAAAAATCATTATAATTTTTTAAGCATGAATTTAAGAATGTTTTTTAAACAGTCACTGGGAAACAAAGTATAAAGACTAATTATTGTTTTTGTTGTGTAATGTAGAGTCGGAACTGGCCTATAGGTGACCCTCTGTCGGGTTTTCAGAGCCAGTTAATCTCAGGGGAGGAGATCGCCTATCCTTCTCCCGTGGAGCACCTGGTGTCCTTGAGCCCCGTGCCTTCAGGATTTCAGCACAGCTTCTTGCCACTAGGCCACCAGAGCCTCCTAAGTAGTAATAACAGCAAGCAGACAAACAAACAAACAAACAAACAAACATTTCCCAGTCATCCGGTCAAATGCAACTCTTATAAAGCCAAACAATATAATTTAAGAACATATGCATAATATATGTAATTGGAAAACTGCAGAGAAACTGTTATAATACTATCTATGGCTATTATAGCAAAAGTAAATCGACATACAAGCTAAACAAAATCAACTTAATCTGTGCAATGTAACTTTAAATCTCAATTGAACATCAGTTCTGTGTGCCAACACAGAAACTTTAGCACAAGATATATCTCATAAAAGTTTACATCACAACAATCAGTTTTTGTAATGTGTTAGACCAATGTAATTTGTGCTGGCTTTTGTTTTCTTTCAGTTTTTTTTTAGTACCAGAAGGATTTGAGTTTGGGGTTTTTTTTGTTTTGTTTTCTTTTTAAGAATTTGAGTTTTATAAAAAAAATTTCATATCCTTTAGGTAAAAGACAATACCTTTAACAGAGAAGAAAAACTATTTAGATGTTTAGAAAAGACAGTGAGGCATTGTGTGAAGAACATTTCATTCTGTCTTCAACACATACAGGTAGGTGAGATACAATTGTTTTCAATATTTCTACATAAATGTATTTATTTCCATGGTTACTGTGAACAGTAAATGTGACTGTTCATTCATTTACATTAGAACAACTTTCAGATCTCGGAGGCTGAATACTGCTACTAAAGGAAGCCAATATTAAATCTTGGTTTTCACTCTTGATCTCTATATATCCCCACCCTACCTTCAAACAAAATAAACATATTGTAGCGCCTTTGGGAGTGATTGCCACTCAGTTCTGGACAATCAGAGTGCTTTATTTATGAAAGAGAGAAATTTTTTAAATCAAAATAGACAAGGAAAATGATACTTGTTTATTCCTTAAAATCCATGTCCCTTTTCAGTAAGATTTAAGGTGATTTTCAAATATATCTAAAATGTCAGGTATTCACATAATTTGATAATGGGATTGAATATTTTAAAAATTAAGATGAGACAAAATGAAATTAGAGAAATTAAAAGACAAAAGATCCATAACAAAAGGCTACGAACAACCCAAACCTCAAATAACTGTCTCTAAGTTAGCTGTAAACTAACTAGCAGCAAATCCTAAAAAGAGACATGTGTGTAATCACATGACTCCAAGAGTTAAAATAAGAACCTTGATATATTTTGTATTTTCAATTCCCGTTTGTGATTTTGAAATCAAACTCATAGATGATGCAATTTTAGTTTGCAAATACACATACGTAAAGAAAACCACTATAAAGGAAATGAACTGGAACAAAATAATGTGAACTAGACTATATAAATGCTCCCGCACAGCTAGACTGTTGTTAGGTACCAATGCATTGACTACTACCGAAAATGACCCTATATAAACAACAGATAGAAACATTCAGCCCCATCCTCATAATCTCTGCCATACTCAAGCCTATTGTAATCAGTGTTTCAGTCTTTCTTGTTGAGGTTCTTCCTTCCCTTCCCTGACCCTCTACATTTTGCAGTATAATGTCTTTTCCAAGGTCTGGTGCTCCTGATAACACACCCAAAGCATGTGAGACAAAGTGTCACCATTCTAGCCTCTATGGCGCACCGTGGTTACACTTCCTCCCAGACAGATTTCTGTGTTCTCCTGACAGTCCATGGTATATTCAATACTCCTACATAATGCTACAATTATTTTTTATAAATCTTCTTTGGTTTTCTTTATTCCTTGTCCAACTTTCACATACATACAAAGTAAATGAACATACCATGGCTTGAGTCAGGCACACCTTAGTCTTTAAACAACACCCTTGCTCTTAACACCTTAAAGAAGTCCTTGACAGTAGCTTTGCCCAATGCAATATGTCTTTTGATTTCTTAACTGCTGCTATCAAAGGTGTTGGTTGTGCAAAACATGAAATTAAATCATTGACAACTAGACTACTAGTAAAAAACACCACCACAAATTTCCTGTTCCACAGGAAGTGGTCCAGACTCTGTTAAAAACTACTGGCTTAAGAAAACTAAGTAAAACACAATTTTATTTATTAAAGCAAGTCATGAGTTTCTGCTATTGAACCTCTTAAAGAAGGCAGTGTCCTCTATAACACTCCTATGGTGGTCATATCTATGAAACACAGATAATTCTTTTTTTTTTTTTTTTTTTTACCAAAAGCTCAATAGCATCACTTTTACTATAAAGGAATCACTGGTCTCTCACCCTTTGGAAAGTTCTCCAACTATGTTACAAACAAATCATCGTTTTAAAAATGAACTCGTAAGAAAACAAGTTCTCATCACAAAACCAAGAGAAAGGCAGTGTAGTGGCAGTAGCTTCCTGACTGAGTACAAACCAAGCCTGGAAGATGAAAGCTGGAATGTGATTTTTGTCATTTTCCTGTGAGATCATAAAGCAATTCATAAAGAAAATATTTTTATAGTAAGGAGAAGAAATCTGGTGCTTTCAGTAGGGCCCAGTTGTTGGGGAGATACAGAAAGTTCATAGAGACACATCTATTAGTTAATAAGTTATTCCCTTGCATTCTCTAGACAGTTTTATCTTAACAGTCTGATTTAGAGGTAGATATTTAGGTGGTTACATAAAATATCGCACCAACAGAGGGTTAAGTTGACAGGCACAGTGATTATGAGGCATGATTCCATGTGATTTACCTGACAAACACCATTCTCTTCTTCTTTAATAACTGATGTAAAGTCTGATTTCACAATCAGATTTGCCTTCTTCTTCCTAAACTATGCACTGCCTGCCATGAAAATAAAATGAAAACACTTTTGTAACTGCCAGAGAGCAGGGAGAATACTGTCCTTGATGTACTTTTGAAGGAGTAAATACCTTTTGGGAACACCTCACAAGATCTCTCATTTCCACTAATTGATACAACAATTTAAACATCTTAAAGAGAACGTTGAAGGCTCTAAGGAAAGCAGAAAAGATATATCAAAGAGGAGTGATTTTTTTTTTTTTTAATGAAGGAGCTATACAAATTGAATGCTAAAAGTGACCAGTAAGTGAATTTAAGAGGAATTGTGCTTGGTGAAAGAAGATGTCCTATAGAATAGTCTAAAGAAAAAATAAATTTGTCTTGAAGGAAGTGCAGCCAGGATGCTCCTTAGCAGTGAGGATGATGAGACTTTTTCTCATATATTTTGAGTATTGGGAGGAACCAATCCTTGGGAAAAGACACTATGCTTTGTAAAGTTCATGTCACATACTGTCGAGTCAGAACCAACTCATAATTGATCCACCAGCCGGTTTTCAGAGTCTGTAAATCTCACCAGAGGAAATAGCCATCTTTCTCCCATGGAGCAGCTGGTAGATTCGAACTGCTTGCCTTGGGTTGGCAGTACAGCTCCTTACCAGTAGGCCACATAGGTGGGCGAAAACAAAGACCTATAACAAGATGGGTTGACGCAACTATGGACTTAAGCATCGCAGACATTGTGAGAATGGCACAGGACCAGGAAGTTCTTGCTTCTATTGTACAGAGGCTTGCTAAGAGCTGGAACTGGCTAGAGTAGAGTAACTATAAAAGAGTGACATAGCTGAAATGTAAAAAAAGAAAAACCCTCCCATAACCCAAACCCGACACAACCTACAGATAACCTGGCTGCGCACCGTATTCATGAATAGTCTTTTTCCTTTTTCTTTTTAGCTTTCACTGGTGATGGAGGATTATGAGGCGGTCGACCTTAATGCTATACTTATTTGCTCTTGAGTCAGAATTTGTACTTTGTGTGACTTTTTTTTCATTGGGTTTCAGGATGCCATGCCCTTGGCTCTGCAGAGTATAACAGAGCTCCAGGAGATTTCGTGCAATAAAGATGAAGAAGAGAGTGACTCTTCAGAGACCCCAAGTGATGCCTCAAGTCCCTGTAATGACTTTGTAAGTGATGCCTGTTCACAGATAAATGCAAATCAAATAGTAAGGTTAAATTAAAATCTGCCTTTCATTGCTTTTTTGCATGTAAAAATATAACATGTTCTAAAGCAAATATTAATGTCAAAATTAGAAGCTTTAAGTAGGAGGGTTTTTTTTTTCAATTATCAAATGTTTTTCAAGGGGCTTAGTGAAGATTTTACTATAATTGACATTTAAGAGGATCCTGATTGTATTTCCAGGGGTGTTAGTGTTTGTGCAGCTTTGAAAACCATAATTTATTTTAAGTATGCATATGATATTTCAGGTATTTATTAAGTTATAATGGTCTGATTTTTTTTTAACTTCATCACTGGAAATTTAAGGGAGAGAAGACGTTTTCTAAAGATACAGTTCTTTTTAGCAATGTAAAGCAAGATTTCTATAAGGAAAAGGATTTGGGATTTTTTGCCAAAGAGTCCATATAGTATTATTTTTGAAGCCTTAAAATCTCATAACTCTTTTTTATTATAAAGGTAAATCCTACTCCTGTTGGGATTATTGGTAGGATTTCTGGTAACATGCATGGGACCCAGGGCCTGCAAACTTGAATTCGCAGCTACGAGGTCGGCTACAAGCAGGGTCGAGTCATACTGGATAAGAATGTCTTTGATTTTCTTCTTGGAGGTCTATCCACATACTTCGTAGGCAACCAAGGCTTTGGAGATAGACTGGCGGATTGTGTAAATCTGGGCAACATGACCACCACCCTTCACACAGACTCAGATATCCACACCAGCAAAGCGTTCTTTACCCAGCAGCAGAATAGGTTCCAGGAGCTTGTACTAAAGCGAGCGGGGCTCAATCATCACCAGAGGCCGGCCGTTCACCTTGATAAGGCCGCTGTCCCATTTGCAGGGTGCCATGGCTATGGCTGTATTGCGTCCAACACTTGCACGGACTGCAGTGCGCCCTTGAACAGCATGGCCAATGGCTAGCAGGAGAGATCCTCACCGTGCAGGGCTGCGACCAGAAATGGCCTTACATTATTTTTTTCTATTCTATGCTAAAATATTCATCTTTTGAGAATCTTATCAAATATAGTTTGGAAATTATAAAAAACGTGAGTGATTAGCTGGTCTGAATAATTTTTATATACTATCCTTTGTTTTTAGATGTATTATTATTTAATTTCTGTTACTATCCTATAAAACATAATAGATTTTTTCATCATCTTTAAAGTCCTCGTGTATGTTGTCATTATTGGCATTTGGTTGGAAGCAGGAGTGGCATCCACTCCCTAAACAGTATGTCTCTGGCAACTCTATGAACTTTGATAAATGACAATAGTTATAGAAAGGCTTCAGACCTTTAGTTCACAGAGTTGCTGTGAGTCTGTTCTAGTCGACAGCAATCAACACCACCACCCCTGGCATATGGGATCAGACAAATCTTTACTGAGCAGCCATTGTGTCAGTGGATGCTTAACATGCCTTGTTTCCAAAGCTCTAAGGTTAAGTAACATGTTAAGTCCCTCAAACAATAAATGAACAGCCCTACACATTTCTGAACTGCAGTAAGTGATTCAATCCATGTACAGACGAAAAAAGTTATTTTGCTTCTTTGGCATGGGAAATAGGTTTTCCCATATGTGTTTAATGAACTAAGGGAAGCTGTATCTGTATGTAGTTTCTAGAATTGGTTACAGAGACCACACTTTAGAAAAGTATTTAAGGATTTGCTTTTATTAGTCCTCATAAATTTATTATTAAATTAGTAAATACTTATTGAGTGCCATGTAAGAGCAAGGCATATATATTCTTTTTCAGCAAGCATGTTCTAGAATCTGATGCAATGAAGAAAGAGACGATAACATTGCATAAAAATATAAAAGGATGAATTGGGCTAAATTAAGTAATTATCAGAAAATACACTATTAAAAGCCAACTGACTTAAGGAAATGAGAACATCTTTTGAAAATCAAAGATTTTCAAAATAAAAATTGAGAGCTTAAAATCTGTCTTATGACATAATGATTGCTATATAACCATGGATGGTAGCTATACATTTTGTAAAGGCTAAAATGTTAAAACAAAATCTGATTCTTACTGAGACACATTTCTTACATGTGGATCAATCCATTTATGCCTAAGGGTCACTAAAAAAATATATTAAGATTAGATTACCTGTAGGATCCAGTAACATCATAAACATGGTAATTAATCCCAGATACAGTAACCATTGTTTGCTTTGTCAAAACACTCATTAAGCAGTCTGCAGGCGCATATTGATTATTTTATAAGCTAGACATCAAACTTAATCTGTGTAGGCTGTTCCTGGTGCCAATAAGAGATTGGTTTTTCTCTCTCTTCTAAATTTCCCATGAGTTCAAGCTAACTTACTACGGGCCATTTAAATTAATTAATACAAGCTGCTGCTCAGACACTGATTTCCCCAGGACATGCTAGGGGTTACAAAAGAGAAATCTAATTGCAAATTGCCATAAAAAAAAATCATGTTACCAAAGAGTATATAAAACACATAATTATGATTGCTTGTTCATTACTATTCAAAAAACATATATGATAAATAACAAAGTGTACCAGTAAGCAAACAGGGCACCAGTGTTCTTCAGAATAGATGGAGAAAGAGAAATAGAAAAAAAAATAAGTCTATGATGCTCAGATGTTGATATGAAGTTGGTGAAATGAAGTTAATTTTCAATGACTTAAAACTGAAAATGGAGCAACATAGGAATTGGTATCAGCTTAGTCTTTGATTTATTTAAGAAGATAATAAATCTGTGATCATATTCCTGTCGCTGCAGTTGAAGAAAAACAAACCCAATGCAAAATAAACAAACAAAAAAATCCAAACAAGCCTATCCTGGAGAATAATGCAGTAAAGAGCTCTGGTGGTATACTGCAGTATGTGTGTAGCTAATAATAAGAAAGCCGGTGGTTTGAATCTAACCAGTTTCTCCATGGAAGAAATGTGGACAGTTTCCTTAGTGATTTAGAGCTTCAGAAACGTGAAGTTCACCATGAGTCAGAATCAACTTGGTGGCATTGGGTTTTGTTGTTGTTTTTAGCTGGAAAAGAGGAGCCCTAGTGGGGTAGTGGTTAAGTACTATGCTACTAACTCAGAGGTCAGCAGTTTGAACTCACCAGTCACACTGCAGGAGAAAGATGTTGAAGTTAGCTTCCAAAAGAATTTACAGCCTTGAAAACCCTGGGGAATAGTTTATTCTGCCCTATTAGAGTTACTCTAACTTGGACTTGACTCAAAGGCAATGGGTTTGTTTTTTCATTTATCTGTGTAGGAGGGTTCCTGAGGGTTGCAGTTAACCTACTCAGCTGCTGTTTGAAAGTTGGCAATTTGAGTCCAGAGATGCCTTGCAAAAAAATAGCCTGCTGATGGACTTCTGAAGAATCAGTCACTGAAAATCCTATGGTGCACAGTTCCACTCCGACATGCATAGGGCTGGCATGAGTGAGAATAGATCCAAAGGGAACTGGTTTTCATCTGTACAGGGACACAATTCCACCATCGCAAATGTGTCCTGGGGGCAAAAATGGAAGAAATGCTGTGTACTCTGTTATCTGTAAGTGCCATCTAGTTAACTATGACTCACAGTGGCACCTATGAACAACAGATCTGAGCATTGAACTATGCTGAGCCATTCTCAGGAGCTCAACAAGCATCAGCCCATTGTTGTTGCACTCGCTGTGTTAATCCATCTCATTGAAGGTCTTCCTCTCTTTCTCTGACCTTCTGCTTTTCCCATCACAGTGTCTTGTTCCAAGGACTGGCCTCTCCTGACCGTATGCCCAAAGCAAATGAGAAGAAGTCTGCCTCTAAATATCATCCTGGTTGCACTTTGTCTAAGGCAGATTTGTTGTTCTTTTGGCAGTCCATAGGACATTTAAGTCTTTGCTTAAGATTGATTTATGTATCCTTTTTTTGCCAGACAAGGGTATGAATTATTTACATGATCTTGGTAGTTAAAAAATGCAGCTCTCATAAGCTGGAGTGACTCAATTGGTTCTGAGATTAGAAAGAAGCAGAAGAGGAATGTGTTGAAGGAGCTGATCTCAGTGACCAGGCCAATGGCTGCAGAGGCATAGGTAGGGTATTTGGGAAGGTAGATGAGCAGGCTTTTTCTTTGCTCCTCTTCCTGTTCACTCTTCAGGTTCAATGCTAGAGTCTAGTGTTGTTATTTTAAGCCCTTGAAAGGGTTTAGTTACAGAAGGAGATCTACAACAAACAAGGAAATTATGTTACTGTCCAAACATATAACATCTATCTTTTAGATATAGTTATGTGCCACTGAGTTGCCTGCAACTGGTAGCGACCCTGTGTACACCAGCTCTGAACCCTGCTCTATCTTGAGTCAACATCATCACCTCCAAGACACCTATCCTCTCATACCCCAGTCACTGAGTCAATTCACCTCATCAAGAGGCTTCTTTTCCTGTGCTAAGGTCTTGTTCCTCCTGGCAACATGCCCAAAGTATGTGAGACAGAGCTTCAAAATCTCTGCCTTCAAGAAGTAGCCTGGTAACTTTAACATATTATCAGCTCAAAGTTACAAGTCAAGTTTACTAATCTTTTCTTTAACATTATGGCACTACCTACAAATTTTAGCTTCCAACTTTCTTGCTCTGATTATAATCGGTCTAGAATGTGCTCCCAGTCATTTTCTCTTCATTTCTTCTCTTTCTATGCTCAGCAGAACAAGACCACACAGGCAGCCTTGACCCACTGAAAGTCTCGATTAAGAAAATATTCATTTTAGCTTGCTGAATGATCTCTCATAGCTGTCAAAGGGAACAGAGTGGTTTAACAGAAACTGTTCAGTAACATGCTATGAGATGCTTTTTGGTTACACACACACACGAGCACACAAGGTGTGATCCTATTTTAACTTGGCTGGGTATGGTTTTCTTTTGTGCTGTGCTTCTCCAGGGAGCATGCTGGCAGTGCTGGCCATGGTCCCCGGCTAGTGCCGTCTTTGTAATGGGATTGTATTTTCTTTTGACAGGCAGTGCACTTACAGAAGCTTGTCCTGGTTCCCCTGTCAGCTCTGCTGTCCTTATTCCCAGGACCTCAGAAGCTCATCCAGAAACGCTATGACAAGCTCCTGGATTACAACAGCTACCTGCAACGGTCAGCAGGAGATGAGTCAGACCTGGCCAAAAGAGAGTACGAGGCCCTCAATGCCCAGCTTGTCGAGGAGCTCCAAGTGTTCAATCAGGCTGCCCGCAAGATTCTATTGAACTGTCTGTGCAGTTTCATCACCCTTTTCAGAGACCTGATGCTCGTGACCCAGCGGGTTTATTCCAAAGTGGTGCTGGTAAGAACAGCTCAGCATCTGGCTTCCCTCTCCTTCAGAATACTCTAACAACCACACTGATGCAAAGCCACGCCCTCCTCTCTATTCTGTTTTGTTTGGATTTTCAATAACAGTCAAGTAGTCTTTTGCTTCATACCTCTCTTCATTGGAGCTCTGGTAGCCTAGTGGATAAGGAGTTGTGCTGTCCACCCAAAGGTGCATCGCTTGAGTCCATTGGCTGCATCTTGGGAGAAAGGTGGGCAATCCTTGCAGTTTACAAGCTATGAGTCAGTTAGAACTTAAGGAAGCATACCAACTACAACAACCAATTAGTTTCCTAGTTCAATTTTACTGTGGCTTACACGCATGTTGTTGTTACTGTTTATTTGTTTTTGTAGACTACCAAAATTCAAACAAAATGTTATAACTCCACCGCCACTGAGAGGTCAGACTCACAGTGACCCTACAGGACAGAGCAGAACTGCCTCGTAGTTTCCAGGCCTGTTGCTTTAAGGCAGCAGAGTGCTAGACAGTCACATCTTTCTACTGCATAATAAAGGGGGCTTTCTAGCCACTCACCCTTAATCTCTGCATCACCAGGGCTGCTTCTCTTTTGGAGATTACCTTTCAAATACTGAGTACTTTTCTGTTTTTCTTGACTCAGCCAGAATACATTTGCCTAATGTAACATCTAGGAGGTGCTTTGTTAATTCAAAAGTGGTACCTCTCTGGAGGGTCAAATCTACTTGTCCCTTTGCAGAAACAAGATAGACAATCTCCTCATGTGCAAGTTACATACAGCCTCTGAACATCTGCTGGAGAGTTACCCATGAGTCAGTTCTGAAACAACAGCAATGAGAGATAGAATCATTATATCTTATTATACAGTGGCAAGAAGCTGTGCTGCAATCCCAAAGGCCCACCGTTCGAGGCCACTAGAAAGATGGGCAATCTCCCCCGTGTGATTAACTGCCTCTGAAAACCTGCCAGAGGGTCAGCTAGGGGTCAGCTCTGACTTGATAGTACACAACAACAATTATATGTGTAGGGAGCTCTGGTGGCCTAGTGGTAAGACTCTGCACTGCAAACCTGAATCCGCTAGCTGCTCCATGCAAGAAGGATGGCCATCTCCTCCTGTGTGATTAACTGCCTCACTGATGGTCAGCTATGGGTTGGTTCTGACTTGATGGTACTCAACAACAACATGATATATATTTATATGTTAATATATATGTAAATTAATATATAGGACATAATGTGGTAAGTGCAAGAGGGGGAGGCCCTGGATAAGATGAGTTGACACAGTAACTGGGGGGAATAAGGGGAGATGTGTCAGAGGCAGCGAGACTGGCTCAGGATAGGACAGGGTTCAGAGCTGTTGTGCATAGGATTACTGTGCGTCTCAGTCAACTTGACAGCACAAAACAACAATAATGTGTTATATATGTATTGTTCTAAAAATAAAAATTTACATTTTATAAATTGATATATGTAAATTTTAACTATCATCATTTATCAAAGTTCATAGAGTTTCCAGAGACATTGTTGTTTAGGAAGTGACTGCCACTCCTGCTGCTGAAAACTCTATGAACTTAGAGAAATGACAATAGTTATAGAAAGGTTTCAGGCCTTTTGTTCATAGAGTTGCTATGAGTCATGCTCGACTCAACAACAATCAACAATAACAACAATGGAAGAAGGAATATAACATTTATCTCTCCATTAGTCAGATTTTGAGGGTTTAAAAAATTATTTTCCAAAGAAGATACAAGATTTTTATAATTCAACAGTAACTTTAAAAAAATTCTTCTTAGTCTCTGTAATTTTTCTCTTCATGTTAAGTGTGTTAGTTTTCATTAAACTGCTTTGACCAAGATAACTATGACATCAGCTTTCCAAATTAGATGCTGAACTCACAGCATTTGGAGCAGGATTAATCATACTTACTTTAGCTTTTTATTATGTAGTCAATTAAATTTCAACTTATTCTTTGAATTAAATTAAGTAAATAGTTGTTATATTTTCATGGTTCAAAAAGATAAAACTATAAAAATATATGTGCCGGCTTACACCCACTCAGGTCATCAACCTCCTCATACCCCGTCGCCTCCCTCCTGAAATAATTTTTATTAGTTTATTTTTTTAAATCTAGAACTTCTTTATATAACGAAAGTAAAGGCAAATGTGAGTTTTTAGTCCTTTTGTGGAAGATAGCATATTATAGGCACAATTTGACACTATTTTTTAATAGTATATTCTGGAGAGGCTTTCATGTCACTGCACAGAGAACTTCTGAATTCGTTTGTTTGGTTTTTAACAGCTTTATTCAGAGATCATTCACATGTCACACAATTTTCTCATTTAAAGTGCACAATTTAGTTGTTTTCAATGCATTCATAGAGTCGCCACAGACCTAAAAAATTTTATCTTCATTGTATACAGAAGTAAAATGGGAAAGAAATAATAGTTTCCACTATGGTAATAATTTAGGCACTTTTCCTCTGTTTCTGTTATCTCCATAAACTCTGGCAGTGCAGCCCATGGCGGGTTGTACCTTTAACCCAAAGTCTGCATATTCCTTGTTGGTTTGAACTCATCAGCCACTTCTTGGGAGAAAATTGGGCAGTCTCTTCACTTAGCAATTCACAGCCTTGGAAACCTCGCTGCAGTGGTTGTTATGCGTCATCGAGTTGACTACAACTCATAGAGACTCTACTGAATAGATCTGAACCTTGTCCTCTCCTGTGCCATCCTCACCATCTCTGATTGGGTCAAGCCGTTACA